TTCAAACTTCTGTAATGGCATCCTCTTTATCTTTCCTATTCCTTAAGGGTGCATCAAAATACATTCTATAATGTAAATTTTAGTATCTGGTGATGTGCTTGTGATCCACTGTTATACCACAGACTTAAAGAGTGGTCTTCAACTTGTTAGGAGAAAAAGATAGCATGTATTATTTATGTACTTCTCTCTACACAAATAGGGTTGAAATTTCTGAGAAAACCACTTAATTTAATAAACAATTGATCAATGTAATAGAACAGTCAAATGGACCTTTCACCAACCTATAAAAGGAGAAAGTGGTTGGTAATATGGAACAAAGAACATGAGCTTGGAGAAGCAAAAGAAAGCAAGGCAAATGCAGCAATGAAGCTAATGCTTAGTCTCAGAAATCAAAGGCTTAAAAAGGTAATTTTAATGCTTTTTATTACTTGAAATTTTTAGAGAGAGAAGAATGGAGGGGGTGGAGAGAGAGAGATACACTAATTTGTTGTTCCACTCATTTATGTATTCACTGGTTGATTTCTTGTATGAGCCCCCATCAGGCACTGAACCCGTAACCTTGGTGTATCAGGATGAAGCTCTAACCAACTGAGCTACCTGGCCATAGTAGTAGATTACTCTTTAAAAAGGAAGTTCAGAAAGATCCTAGGGCACTCAAGAAAAGAGAAATCTTCCAACACTCTTCCTGCTCATTGGTCTTTTAACATAACATGTAATATATTGTTGATAACGATGTCACCAACTCTACTTTCCATTGAAGTTCAACTCTTCTCAGAGGACTCAAAGATAATCTCTCTTGCATGAAAAGTGTATCACTCTGTAAAACTAACCACCATACGTATATAATGTTTAAACTTGAAGAAGTAGGGTAGCAGTGCCAAGTGGCTCTAAGCATCATTAGGGATAAATCTGAAGGATTCCTATACACACATAAAAGGACTAGTGCATTTGATTGTTTCAGAATAAGAGAGTAACTTAGAACAGATATTGCCATGTGGCCACAGTTGACCCTAATCTTAAAAGAATTTGGAAGACTGCTGGAGTTCCTATCACATCCATTTCTAACGCACAGGTATAATATGAAGAGGATGTCAGATTACAGAGCTCCTCTGTTACAACTCTTGTAAAGACAGTTATTTCTAATTTCTTCATCTGAATTTCTCGGATTTAGAAAACATCTTATTATTACAATAATTATTCTAGGCAGTTACTTGTTCTGTTGAGGCAACTAATAGATAACAGAGTTAAGAACACATATTTTTTTATAATATTTTGAAAAAAATTGTTCTCAATTAAAAAGTTGTATCTTCAGGCCCTGGCTTGGGTGGCTCGGCTCAGTTGATTGGAGCACCGTCCTGTATACCAAGACTGTGGGTTTGATCCTCAGTTGGGGTGCTTAAGGGAGGTGACCGATGCCTGTCTGTCTGTGTCTTCCTTCCTCTCTCTCTCAAATCAGTAAACATATCCTTGGGTGAAGATTTTTTTTTTAAGTTGTCTATTTTATAAACTGCTACTGGTCAGAGATAACAGCAGAAAAACAACAAAAAAGTTCGCCTGTGCATCTTTTACTGGAATTATTAAATAGATTTTGTTCTTTTAAAATTATTTAGTTGTTTCAATATTTTTCAGCTCTATTATGTATGTTTACTTTTTAACCTGGAGGCTGTTTAGTTTTGAGACCCTTAAAGATGATAAAACATTTGTTTCAAGTTCAAAATAACCAGGATTCTATATTTCTTTTGTGGAAACATTTGCTGACAACAACAAAATCCTGGTAACTTGTTCTTTAATTTTTGTGAATTTTACTCAGTGTATCAGGTTTTATGAAAGTTAGAGAAAAGAAGGTTGGGTAGAGAGGATTGGTGGTAAAGAAAAAAAAACACTTGTGGAGAAAATGAAAGCAGAAACATGAAAATGATTTTATTTCCTTAGGCAAAATAAACTATTTCACAACTAATATTTATTTTAAATAACCCACTGACATCTGTACAGATGAGGGCTGAGGGGGCTCTGACTGGGGCAGTGGTAATAGGCATAGAGAGAAGGAAATGATCTTGCAAAATAACAGGTTCAGTAGATAAAATACATGGAATGGATGTAGGGAAAAGAAAAAGGAAGGAATCAAAGCTTATACTTAAATTAGAGAGACCGGGAAAATAAAAAAAATTATTAACAGTTTAAGGAAATATAGAAAGAGACAAATGATTATGACAAGAAGATAATGGATTTGGTTTTACTTGTTTACTATTACTTTATACTACTTTGTGTGTTTGCCACCTGAGGAGGTAAATATTAATAATGGAAAAATAAAGATAATAAAATTCTGTGAGTATACATGTATGTTTTATTCAATTTGATATTTAGCATCCAGCACTATACATTATACACAGAGTTAACATTTAAGTATTGACCAAGCTAAGATTTTCATGTACATTATCTCACTTAATTCTCATGTCTATTACCCATTTCACAGATGAGGAAACTAAAACTTAGATACATAACTTGCAGGATACAAAAATACAGCGCTGGCTGACTCAAAGCCTAAGCTCTTTACAAAGCCTGTGTTGTGGAGGTATTCAACACAGGGGGCATAAAAATGAAATAAGCACTTAGGGGTTGTTTGGACTAATGTAGACAGAACATTTCAGAATTAAAATGTTGATATTTAAGGATTTTCTTCTCTTTAATTATATGATTTTTTAGAGTAAGCACCAAAAGTTCATTTTATTTTGTTTACTGCATTTTTTCTTAACGACTAGTATAATTCATGTTATAGATATTTAAGAAAGTACTACACTTGCAAATGAGAGACATAATTCTCCATGTTGGCAGGTAATCCTGTTGCTGGGAATATACCTAACAAGGAGAAGAGTACAAAGCACAGGGACATTACTGGCTCTGTGCCAGCATACAAAATGATATATTGACTGAAATTCTTTACATTTTCCTTTTGCTAAGCTGCTTGAAGAAATAAAAGTGTGAGCAGGAAGGCATCTGACATGTTGATGACAACCTCTGGAAGAGATAAGGGGCAGGACAGACAATGGCAGTACTCGCCTGGGTAAGACCCATCCAGCCATCAGTGCTATAAACACTAAGAATACATTTTTCCCTCCCTAAAGTAGTTGGGACTGGGCACATCATTTTTGATGCTCTGGCATTTAATTTTTTTTTAAAAAAACCACATTTTCTGGTTTTCTAATTTTCAAAATGGTTTATGTTAACCTATTTTGGATTCAATCAGATGTTGAGTGTGTGGAGTATCACCTGATCTTTAATGCAGAATATCTCAGTTTTACAGGCTTTACAAGAGTTCAACTATAGAAAGTTCAACTAAATTTTATAAGCGTTCACAACAGAAAGGATTAAGTATAACATAATGCTCACAGACGGCTTTTACCCACACATCAGGATCCAAAGAGTATTTTCTAGCCTGATTTAGGCATTTAAAAGCCTAAGGCTAGCAATGAGAAGAAATCTTAAGTTTCTAGAAAAGTGAAGCATTTAATAGGAGAGTCCATGGCTACCCAGAGAGGTACTCTTGAGAAAATGCAAAAGATCCACTTATTATTTTCTTTTTAAACTAAATTTATGAACAGATTAAATCCAAAGCTTTTTGGAAATATTTTATTTTATTAAATATTTTATTAAAAACTCAGAAAACATTATTGTATTTAAATAAAATAAAATAAAAATAAGCAAAATATTGTTTATTTAAAACAATATTTTATTTAAAACTCAGAAATTTTTTTTTTAAGGAAAAATAAAAAGTTTATTGAAATGGTGGCTGACCTGCAAGGTAGACACCTGTTTAACAAATACATTTAGTACAGTTCCCCATTATTTCACCATCAGAAAAAATCAGCTAATATCCAACTGGGAAAGCTAGAGGCTAAGCTAATATTTCTCTTTCACCAAACCCTCAATCTCGAGAATAAAATATTCTTTTTCCCATCCCTAACCTGATGGAGGTAAGGGGAGGTCAGGACAAAATCTTTTCAGGGATAACTCTGTTTTCAAGAGCAACATCAAGGGATTCGCTTTCCTTTTTCAACCTCCATCTATAGTATATTAATAAGCAACAGTACAAAAGAATTCTCTGAACAAAACAGAAAAAAACCCAGAAAATACAAAACAGTACCTCTTTATTATAGCTGCAATTTCTTGAAAGAGTGCCTTCTCATCAGCAGCATAGGTAACTTCTAGTCTTGTAATTCCAGACCTAATAAGTAATGGGGTCTGATATCTGATATCTAAGAAATAAACAAAATGTTTATTATATATAACTGTGTAAGTAATACTATTCCTTACTTTTGAGTAAAGTATGCTCCTGAAATATTCAAATTAAGAGAGCATTCCTCAAAGTAAATATATAATTACCTCAATTTCCTATGTTGTTATATTCCTGAAAAGTTTACAATCACAAAATTCCCATATAATGTGTCGCTCAAAAAGAAATTTTATTATTTCATTTCTGTCTTTACTCTTCCTACAGGGAGAGCTTTGCTTAACAGAGACTATTTTAATCAGTGGTGTGCTGGAAGATGCTTACACCGCCTCTGGCAGGGGAGCCCTGATTCATAGTGCTTGCCTAGTCCTATGATGTAAAGACTTCCACTGTGGCTGATTTCAAGTGACCAATGTGACACCAACTAGATAAGAATAATTCATGAAAATGTCATGAAAAAATTTCATGAAAAAAAAAAGTCATGATCCCTTCTCAGCGTCTTGGCTAAAATCAAGTGTAAAAGCCATGAAATATGCATTGGCTTGTAAGCAGATATAAGTCAGCTCAAGCATACCATTGATTAAACTGCAAGTTCCTATATTATTTTGTTCTGTGCTAAGACCTCCTTTCTATGGTATGCCATATAAAGAACTCCTTAACCAGAAGTGTATGTATTTAGGGAGAGATATAAACAAAATTAGACTATATCTTAAAAGTCTCTTATAACCATTAAGTCACACTGTAATAGTAACTTCTTCCTTTCTTTTTTTTAAAGAGGAGAGTGCAAACGCAGTCCCCAACCATCACAAATTATGCAGTTGAGCTCCCCACGTTTGGGGAAATCCCAGGGGTCAGCACATCCGGAGTGCAATGGATAAGGCGTGCCCTGGGAAAACCACCTTCGGGATCGGGATCGTGGTATCTCCCCTGCCAGGTACGTATGTATGTAATAGTAACTTCTTAAAGCAAACAGAAACTCTGTATTAGCAGCAAAGAGACACATAATCATTTGGTTTCAGTATCAACAATTAGTATTTTATAAAATTATATTTACAAGAAATTATGTATCTGAATTGCAAATTTTATTAAAGTCTTTACATTGTATTGCTTCTGACAGTCATTTAAGTAAGAATAGTAAATCTACACCAAGTGGTATGCAAGACTTCCTACCGCCCCCATCTCAGCAATTTAGGAAGAAATTCCTTACACTTGCTTGGTTTAAATCTCCAGCACAGAGATGGCCCCATTTAAAGGTTCATCCTAGGGCATGTAGGTATAAAACTAACAGAAATGAACACTACCTTGACTGGAGACTGTCTTGTCTTTATCAATCACTATCACACCCGTGAGTTCTGTTTTGTCCGTATCTGGCAGTGGAGTATCAGATGAGATGCAGTAGAACAGGGCACAGATTGGGTCAAATTCAGGATCTGGTTCTAAGTCTCGTCTAGTTCGAGCATGTAACTCCACACTGATTAGGGTAAGATTTTGTATCTATAAAAAGAAATTAAAATATGTTTTAAAACACTTCTAAGACATGCTGAAAAGAGTATGTTTCACTAAGACTCCAAGGAAATATGTAAGTAAAATTACAGAAAAAATGACCACAAAGGACACAGCTACAGTTTAGTAATCTACAGATTAAGATTTTACTTCTAAGATTAAATTAAATCAACTCATATTTTGATAGTAGAAAATCTACTTATACCATAATTTTCAATGTTATATATTTAAAACCACTTGTTTAAAATATAGGCAGTACCACTCCATTTTCTCAATTCCTGTTTGAATGACTAGTCTAAGTGGTTATATTGGGTTGGCCAAAAGTCGCTTTAGTTTTTTCAGTAAAATAAAAAATACATTTTTCATTTTCACCAATAACTTTACTGATTTGGATATTTTGAGTATGTTGGTTTAACGTTGATTGTTCTCAATTAATGTCTTGATTTGATTGCTAGCAACTTGAACTAGTCTACTCAACCATAAAGCATCATTCAGCAAGAAACCTCTAGCATGAAAAACTTTGCAAACCACTTTCGACATGTTCTATCAGTCACAGCACCTTCTCCATACATTGCACAAATCTTTTTTTGGTGTTTCAGTTGCATTTTTACTTTTCCTGAAGTAATAAAGCATAACGTGCCAAAAATGTTGCATATTTTCTTCCATCTTCAGTATTAAAATGGCTGCACAAAAATTCACCAATTTTGACATTTCTTTTTAAATGCATGCTGATATGACAGCTTTCAGAATGCAATCTAACAAAATTGTTTCAAATGAAGCTACAGACAACTAAGTGCTATTATTAGAACCATCTTATAGGAAAAAAACAAACTTTTGGCCAACCTGATATATTTAAAACCAAAGTTTGTTACCTTTTACTTTCTACCTAGTTAACTACAGTTTAAACTAGAAAAAGAGATTTTAAATTTTGAAGCTTGTAACCACTTGAGGGTACTTAAATTTAAGCTTTTTGTATGTACTAGGCAGATTGTTACAGTTTTTCCTGAAAAAAATTGTAAGAATTGCATGGTATCAAATACACAATCACTGGATTTTTGCCCATGCACATTTTCTCTTTGACACATAAGGCAAAAATGTAGTATTTTTCTTTTTAAACTTATTTTCCTATGCTAATAAAAACTTTCCTTAACTGTAATCTCCTTAGTTCTCTTTCTCAAATTAGGACACAGTAGTAAAAACTCTGGGTAAGAAAAACAAAATATGATTATACCTGGAATTATAGTAATCACTGTACTAGCAAAGTACATGTATCTGGCAATGGAAAATAGTAGACTATCATTAAAATATTGGTAATTATTCAGATCTTATATATTTAACAAAGAATTTGTATCTATCTTGCATGCTAATAGTTGAAGAAATACAAATAAAAGGTTCTCACTAGTGATGGAAATAGAATTTGGTAAATCTCTTTGGAGGACAACTCAAATACCTTTTAAAGTTAAAAATGAACATATCGTTTGATGCAGCAATTCTACTGAGAATATATCCTGCAGCTATACCCATACTTTTAGCCAAATTATGTGCACAAGAATGTTCACTAAAGATTATAATATTCCTAGTCTTTTATGAGCTACAAAAGACTAACAATGTAAATGTCTATCAGTTGGGAACTGGTTTCATAAATTATGTGGCATCCATAAAGACCGCACATAATGGAAAAATCTGTAACCTTTAAAATTTTCTAACAAATGAGCCAAGTCTGGGAAAGGCATCTGGGCCGGACAAGATGGTGGTGTAAATAAACGTGGCTCACCTCCTCGCACAACCATCATCACATCAGAATTACAACTAAGCTAATGGACAGCCATCAGAAAGTGAGCTGAATGGAAATTCTACAACTGTGGAATTAAAGAAGAAACCAACTATAGAATTAAGGGAGAAAACACACTGAGACTGGTAGGAAGGGCAGAGATGTGGAACAGGTAGATAAATATCAGGAGAGATATCTGAGGAGCAAAGAGTCCCAGCCCCACACCGGGCACTCCCAACCCAGGTTTCCAGTGCCAGGAGGAAAAATCTCCATAACTTCTGGCTATAAATCAATGGGGGTTGAGGCTGTAGAGACAGAAACTTCTGGAGTCCCAAGCAGTTCCTCTTAAAGGATCTGCATACACACTTACTCAGACTCACTCCCTTAGAGCTTCAGCATGGGAGTAGCAGACTGAAAGGCATCAGAGACATACAGGGATGAACTGAATTGTTCAGCCTCAGGGAGAGAGTGGGGGCAGCTTTCTTCCAAATAGAAGCACTGGCAGAGACCATTTTTCACTTTCTGAGCCCTTCCCACACAGAGCCATAGAGCCAGCAAGGGGACCTGTATCTGAAACTCCATTAACCTCACTCACACTGTTTGCCCCACCCTGGTGATTCCATGAAGCCCCGCTACACCCAGCTTTCAGACCCACCCAAACTGTTTCCAGTGGCTTTTCCATACAAATGACTTGTCTTGGCCCATGCTTCATATTCTCCAAAATTCTCTCAAACAAGCAACATCTTGCTTCAGTGAGCCCCATACCTCTCTGTAAGTTGCCCCAGGACTGGCTCTAGCAGCAGCCAGCCTTAGTTCACAGCATGGACTTGCATAGGTATCTCCAAGCCCAGCACAAGCAGCAGCCATCTGTAGATTGCTTTGTAGCTTATGCTGTGTTACTCTAGAAAGAACACAGCGAGGGGCTCAACTACAAGAGGGGGGTGTACTAGCCCATACGAAGGGTGAACCTTTAGTAACTAGCTTGGATAAAAGGGGAGGCTGTGCTGCTACACCCTATAGCATACCTACTGTACTAGGCCACTCTACCAAGCCTGGGACAGGCAGCTCTTCCTAATACATAGAAACAAACACAGGGAGGCTGCCATAACAAGGAGACAAAGAAACATGGCTCAAATGAAGTAACAGAGCAAATTCTAGAAAAAGAACTAAACAAAATGGCCCTGGCTGGTGTAGCTCAGTGGATTGAGCATAGGCCTGTGAACTAAGGGATCATGGTTTGATTCCCAGTCAGGGCACATGCCTGGGTTGCAGGCCAGTTCCCAGCAAGGGACATATGAGAGGCAACCATACATTGAATTTCTCTCCCTCTCTCCTTCCCTTCCCCTCTAAAGATAAATGAATAAAATCTTAAAAAAGAACTAAACAAAATGGAGAAGAGCAATCTACTATACATAGAGTTCAAAATACTGGTTATAAGGATTCTCAAGGAACTTAGTGAGGATCACAATAGCATTAAAAAAATACCCAGTCAGGAACAAAGGATGCACTAGTTGAAATAAAGAACAATTTACACAGAGAATCAACAGTAGAGTGGATGAAGCCAAGAATCAAATCAGTGATTTGGAATATAAGAAAGCAATAAACAACTCATCAGGACAGCAAGAAGAAAAAACAACCCCTCCAAAATGAAGACAGTGTAAGGAGCCTGTGGGACACTTCAAGCATACCAACACTGGCATCATAGGGGTGCCAGAAGGCAAAAACAGAACAAGCAAGAAACTGGAAACCAATTTGAAAAAATAATGACAAAAAACTTCCTTAATTTGGTGAAGGAAATAGACATGACAGTCCAGGAAGCACAGTCTCTCTCAGACAAGATGGATGCAAAGAGGCCCACGCCAAGACACATCATAATTAAGATGCCAAAAGTTAAAGAGAGAATCTTAAAAGCAGCAAGAGACAATCAGATAGTTACCTACAAAGGAGTTCCCATAAGACTGTCAGCTGATTTCTGAAAAGAAACTTTGCAGGCTAGAAGGGACTGGCAAGAAGTATCCAAAGCGATAAAAACAAGGGCCTACATCCAAGATTGCTCTATCCAGCAAAGCTGTCATTTAGAATGAAAGGGCAGATATAAAGTACTTCCCAGACAAGGTAAAGCTAAAGGAGTTCATCACTACCAAACTGGTATTATATAAAATGTTAAATGCACTTATTTAAGAATAAGATAAAAACTATGAACATTAAAGTGGCAGCAAATTCATGACTATCAACAACTGAATCTAAAAAAACAAAATAAATAAGCAGAACAGAAACAGAATCAAAGATATGGAGATCACTTGGGGGGTTATCAATAACTTGGTAGGGAGAAGGGGGAGAATGGGGGAAAAGGTGGAGAGATTAAGTATAGATTGGTAGGTACATAATAGACGGGGATATTAAGAACAGTATAGGAAATGAAGTAGCCAAAGAACTTACATGCACGACCCATGGACATGAACTAAGGGGGGAGATTGCTGGAGGGATGGGGGGTACTGGGTAGAAGAGGGCAAAGGGGGAAAAATTAGAACTGTAATAGTATAATCAATAAAATATATTAAAAAAAGAAATAGGTTGTCTCTGTTTAAAAAAATACCCCAAATAAACAAAAATTAGAATAAAATCAAACCATCAGAGGGTAGCCCACAGAAAGAACTTTTAAATGTAT